CTATGTTTACATAACACTATTAAAAATTTATTTACTTGTAATAATATTAAGTTTCTTTTTGTAACGATGAGGAGTAGAGTTCTTCCGTAAGAAGGACACATAGGTTTTGATGTAACCCCCATACTATAATAAGCGTTTTTATTAGAGAAATGTCAAGATTAAGGGGGAGTGTTGAACCCTGGAATTAATCATAATCTTGACAACGTCGCTTTATGGCGACTCACTCATACTGCGAGTCCTATTTCAATGTTGATAAGCACCTGCGTATAGCAGCCCCTTCCCCTTGTTAGCTAGTTCGCCAATACATCTCCTCGTCGGACCACGTTCTCTGTTTTCTTTCAATAAAATATGTAATTCTTAATCCAATAATGACTACTCCGAAAAATACCCAAAACACCTATCCTCATTAAAATTGTGCTCATATGAGCTTTTTCCCTCTGTATTCCGATTTCCAGCTTTATGCTGAATTTTAAGGCACGTTGGCTAAAAAACTCCAACATACCGTCTACGACCCTGCGTCCGACGCAATCAGTTTGTGAAAAAATGTAGGTAAACAAAAAATAGAAATCGTGCTAGTCACACTGTGACATGTTGCCGGGGCCAAATATCTGCCGTGCTAAGGAAGAATGCCGTATGGACATTCGACAGTTGCCAAATTACCCTTGATAAAACGTGTATTTTTGACGACTTTCATGCACATATTTCTTTGAAATTTTCAGATACCTATTTTAGATTAAATTGCGTGAAAAATCGTCTAAAAAATTTTGGAGAAAAATATTCACAATTTTCCCGGTAAACTCGGTTTTTACCGAAGGAAACTTGGCAACGTTTGAAGGCTCATACGACGTTCTTCCTTGGCACGACAGGAATAAACACTCTACCGCGGCCTAGGCTATAATTGCTGTAAATTTTAGGGGAGGGCAGTTGAAATATGTAGAAAGAGAAAACTAATCGCGATTGGAGCTCAATTTGATTCACACAGACTTGTTTTACCATGAGCGGAAGGTTTGAATTGACACATCAAAAAACGTTGAATATCTTCAGGAAATTACTTTCAGAAATCCCCGTCGTGTGAAATGTGTTCTGCGTGGAATTTTGGTTGAGAAACTTGTATCACATTCCTTGGATTCGCACCTTGTCTAGTGGTTCATTGGAAACCAAAGATTCCCCTTCAATTGGCCGGCTATGCAAAATGACTGTCGTGACGCACGAATGGTGGTATCACAATTTTGCATTGAGATTACCCAATGAATTGAAGGCGCTCCTCTCAATCCTACCTTGGGTGCCTTTAAAGTTATGTTTTAACCGAAAACTTTAACAATTTCTTAGTTTTAATTTGGGCCATACTTTTGAAAATGTCCGAAGAACGTTGCTTTACATTTGAGGAAAATTCTTTATTTCGTCTATAAGCCTCATTTCAAAAAAAAGAGTTGCGGTCTTGTAAACGGAGACTCTTAGAGTTTTGTGGGAGAATGTGTTGATTAAAGTTAGAAGACTTGAAAATTGCGATCTGAGCCCAGCGTTAGCGCCCCATTTTTGAAAACAGATGAAATAAGGAATTTTCTCCAATTAAAAAAATTACTGAAATCAATTCCTTACTGAGCTATTAAAGTTTTCGGTTTACATTCGTCACAGGAATTTTGAATTCCCTGCTCACAAGAAAACGATGGTCTACTTGAATCCAACCGCGATTAGTGCTTGATTTGGTTCACAAGGACTTTGGTTTTCCCATGAGCGCCCCATGGTTCCCATGGTTTTTAATGAGCGGAAGGTTTGAACTGACGCATCAAAAAAAGTTTATTAGCTTCAGGAAATTAATTTCAGAAATGTTCGTTGTGCAAATCCTCTTCTATGTGAATTTTGGATAAGAGACATATAACAGCGTTTGCGCCCCGTTTTTTGGAATGGGACTCGCAGTCGATAAAATCATATTCCTAAAATTTAAACTCATGTTCTTCAGACATTTTTGAAAATTAAAGCCCGACTGTAAACTCAAAAATTGTTAATGTTTTCGATCAACATCACTATAAAAGACCACCAAGGTAGAATTGAAAGGAGCGCCTTCAACTCACTAGGTACAAATCTAAGCAATGTGATATGTGTTTCTTAACCAAAATTTCACACAGATTTTCAACAGATTCACACCACGAAAATTCCTGAAGTCAACTCCTTACCAGATATGAAAGTTTTCAGTTTACATTTGTCACAGGAATTTTTAATTCCCTTTCTTACAAGAAAACAATGGTCTCCTTGAATCTAACCGGGATTGGTGCGCAATTTGATTCACACAGACTTTTGTTCTTCCATGAGTGGAATGTTTTAATGGACGCATCAAAAAAAGTTTATTAGCTTCAAGAAATTAATGTCAAAAATGTTCGTTGTGCAAATCCTCTTCTATGTGAATTTCGGATAAAAGACATATAACAGCGTTTGCGCCCCGTTTTTTGGAATGAGACTTGCAGTTGATATAAATCATATTCCTACAATTTAAACTCATGTTCTTCAGACATTTTTGAAAGTTACAGCCCTTTTTAAAACTCAAAAATTGAGAAAGTTCTAAGTTAAGATCACTATAAGAAGCCACCAAGATAGGATTGGAAACATTCGACCAGCACCAACATTTTGAAAATTTCAATTTTGTCTCTGACCCCATGGACTTATTGGGGGTGCAAAAGTGATTCCACAGTCTCAAAAGGGCTAGAAAATTTGCTCTACATCCAACAGTTTTCGAGATTTTTACATATTTGCATGTTTCTGTTTCAAAAATCCATCCGTCATAATAAAAAATCGACCAGCATCAAAATTTTGAAAATTTAAATAGAGCCTGGAGGCAGGCCCGCCACATCCCATCTCGGGCCCTGGTACCAATTTTCTGGCCCGGGCCCATAGCACAGGGGGGGGGGGGGGGGC